TCATGCCAGCAGGTCCATCTCTAAGATCATCATGGGATTTAGGGTTTAGGGTTTAGGGTTTAGGGTTTAGGGTTTAGGGTTTAGGGTTTAGGGTTTAGGGTTTAGGGTTTAGGGTTTAGGGTTTTCGGGAGCAGCTACCCGAGGTCGCCAGCGAAGGCTTCGCGCCCCCTGTCCGACGGTGCACGGGCTCTGGTGCCTTGGCGGATAATTTTCAAAGGAGGCTTTGGCTCGCAAACCATGAGGCCACCCGGATGATGATGAGAGCCATGGGGCACACGAACCCAGCAACAAGCAGTTAAGATTAGCACGAAGATGGCTTCTTGATGAATAGTAATCATACCAGTGAGAACGCCTCTTTCATGCAGTCCTTCAGCTGTGTGGCAACTTGGTCGCGACGTCTGTAGTGGTACTAACCAGGGTAGTCGTGGTACTGTACCTCGACAAGTATCCTGTTCACTATATTGGCTGTTGCTGCTCCTATTTACTACTGCCAGTAACGATGCTAGACAAAAGAGCACTTCTCATAGCAGTAGGAATGTTTTTTTGACGAACCCAAGTCGCTCAAACTAGTAAGTGGTAGTAGCCCTGTAGCATCCGTGCCAATGACGACCGCAGAGCAAGACCGACACGTGCACGCAATTCATCTATCACCGTAGCAACCACCTTCGCGACAACCGTACGACATGGAGTAGCCACCCAGAACCCTAATACTCAACCCCCTACCATTCAGGATGAGATTGTCACATGAGGACATGCCTTATGTATGTATGTATGTATGTATGTATGTATGTATGTATGTATGTCTGTCTGTCTGTATGTATGTATGTATGTATGTATGTATGTATGTATGTATGTATGTATGTAGCTCCCGAGCGTGCTATGTTTAATGAAGGTGTGAAACATGCTACAGCTCGCCTCTGGGTCACATGGAATGACTCCATGACGAAAAAGGCAAAGTCTTACACTCCGTAGCCGCAGCCTAAGATTGAGCCGGCATCGTTCTGATGAAGCCATGTATTCCTAAACCATAAACTCTAAACCCTAAACCATAACTCTCAACCTGAAGCTGTTCGTCGAACGTAGATTTCTTTGAATGGCAGAGTTTAAAGAACGAGCACAAATCTGAAGCCGCCAAGAACCTAGACAATCCTCTCATCATAGACAGCTTATGACTACGGTAGTCATAAGCTACCAGCCCTAAAAACTGCAGGCTGTACGGATTTTGAAAACTAGTTTTTGTTGAATTCAAGGGTATCGGGTTAAAAGTTCCTACACCCCAGCGCTCCCCCCACTTTTTGCCGCAGAAAAACTGTACAGCAACACTGAACCCCAAAACCCTGAACCCTACACCCTAACCCTTACTTGTCGGTGTGCTGAATGAGCAGCACTCACGGAATTTCGGACGCTCTTGAGCAGACGGGAAACGGTGTTACAACATGCCCTAAACCCTAAATTGAGACGTCCTCTTTTTGACAAAGCCTGAGGATCGCCAAACAGTCCGGTAGTCGTGGATCGAGCAGGCGCTCTTCTTTCCTTTAGGGCTTTCAGTGCCCTAGGCCTCCAGTTGCCTATATGGGTAGTTCTCTAAATTAGGGTCCCTTTTAGGGTCCCTTTTAATTTATAAGCGTGCCGTACTATATTGAGGACCTAAAAGGGACCCTAATTTAGAGAACTACCCATATAATGGGTTTCTGAGTTATATCATTGTATGCTTAGTAACCTACTGTTTAAGTAGCTGGAGCGCCGGGGATGGCTTTCATATGCTTCTTACCGTAGGGTGTTTTTAGGGTTTAGGGTTTAGGGTTTAGGGTTTTAGTATTTTATATAGGGCTTTCAATCGGATTTCACAGGGCTTAGGTTTGCTTAAATGTTGGTGGGTTTTCTGTTGCAGCGACAATTCTAAATAAGATAACAGTAGGCACCTAACATATTTACACTATATAGGCCTTGTAAGACCCAACTTGGCCGTTTAGATTCAGAGGCTGTAGAGACCCTGGTCAGTCGAAAAGACCTGAACTACAGACTTTCCCTGTTTAAGTCTGTGAGCCCGGCAGGTGTGCAGCGTGTGCCGGAACCACTGAGCTGTGCCGCACGCCTCGCTGCACCCTGGCCGGGACAAGGCCAGAAAGCGAGCTCACTATTTTAGAGGGATGTCCCTGCCCTGTTGGGCTTCGTTATAGGGGCCCTAACAGTGACTAGAAGCAGTGTCCCCCTTGTTCGATGTGTAATCCTTCTGCAATAGATACTAGACCAGAAAATCGCGCTAACAACAAGCACCGTTAAGGAACTCAGAGGTTTCCGTGTGTTTTGGATGGTGTTCTTCATTGGATTCATGTCATGGAGTCTTCATTTCGGTAGCTTCCGGGCCGGAACCACTGACAGACTAAACCCTACATCGACCCTCAGGGAGAAAGCCAGCCCTAAACCCCCCTAAACCCCTAAACCCCTAAACCCCTGAACCCTTAACCCTAAACCCTAAACCCTAAACCCCTAAACCCCAAGCCCTCCAGCCCTCTAATCCGAAACCCTGCTTCAACACAAGCCCAAGCCCTAAACAATGCGAACCATGAGCCCCAGAATCCCGCAGACCCCCCGTGAGACTTTAGTAGTGGTTTAGGGTTTAGGGTTTGGGGTTTAGGGTTTAGGGTTTAGGGTTTAGGGTGTAATGGACGAGACCCAGAAAACAGTCATGAACATACATAAACATGTGATAATCCACGACACACCCTAAACCCTAAACCCTAAACCCGATACCCTTAACCCTAAACCCCCTGACACTAAACCCTAAACCCTAAACCCCCTGACCCTGAAACCCCAAATCCCCAATAACCCAGCTTCCGCTTGCTGGTTTTTCCTATCTGTTCTCGGGTTAGGGCTGAGGGTTTGGGCAAAGGATTGGTTGGCTTTGGGCTTAGGTCTCAAAAAGGGTACTGGGGTTTAGGGTCGAGGCTGGAGGTTCTATGGATTGCGCTGCCATAACCTACTTTCATTAAGTTTGTAGGGGTTAGGGTTAAGGGTAAGTTCCGTAGGTTCTAAATACAAACCAGTGGCCCCCCTCGATTAAGAGTGTGAGCTCCCTAGACACCCTAAACCCTAAACTCCAAACCCAAAGCCCTAAACCCTAAACAAAAACTCTAAACCCGAAGCCATAAGCTCATTAAGCCCTTGGCCCTACTAACATACTCAGAAGTAATCGGCCGGGGTGCCTTTGAAGGATTTCGTGTATATTCAAGCTGCCGCCTAGGGCTCCAGTCACCTTTTTTAAAGGGTTACTGGGTTATATTCGGTTATCTTTTTGTGGTTCGTAACGTACTATTTCTAGGGTACCATAGGAAGCTTCTATAGCGAGTTGTACGCTTTCCTTGCTACGGCAAGTTGAAGGAAACGGATACTAATAAGGGGCTCTTACTTGCAAAACGGGGAGACCTTATTTTCTGCACCCCCCGGCACCATCAATCATCTTTCAACGACTCTATGAACCCTTGAACCGTTGGTAAGACCCTATGGATCCTATGGATTTTTTTCGAAACATGTCGTAGCGCCATACTTAAAAAGTGGGCCACACTCTGCAGAAGCCCTGGCAAGCCAAGTCAAATGAGCCCCATGGTTGGGTTTTTAGTCGCCAGGAACAGCGACTGCCCCGGCGCTGAGTTCGATGTCTTCGCAACGGCCATCACCACGGTAGGAACGGCTTTTTTATTCGGATAGGTTGCAATGGGCTTTCGTAACCTTTTCTGGAACAAGGGGTCTACCAGGTGTTCGCATAAGGTTTGGCACTTTGGGGTTGGGGTTGGGGCCTTTGTGGTTTGGGTGTTCTTTGATCCGCATCTTCTTCGAGGTGTGAGCCTGTAATGGAGAAGCCATTCGAATGTTGTGTCTGGCAGCACCCTAAACCCTAAACCCTAAACCCTAAACCCAGACATCACAAATGGAGTGAAGCCTTGCTGACTGATGCCTGGCAGTGGATCCTAAGCCCCAAATCGAGCACTGAAAACCCTGAGGCCTACTGCATCATCTTTTTCCCGAAGCCTGCAGCTAGATGAGCAGCTGAACTAGATCCTAAACGCCAATCCCCCCAAAACCTGAACCTGAACCCTATAAACCTTTGGGCGCAGAGCCCCTACACGTCCTATATGCTTATAAACCCTAACCCCCAAAGCCTAAACCCTGAGCACGTACTGTAGCCCTCAAAGGAACCTTTTGAGGACTTTCATCCCTTTAAGCGCCGCCAGATCTGGTATGATACCCGTGCGAGAGCCAACGGCCCATATCATCTCCCCGCGGTCGATGCACCTTGCCCTGCATTTGTGTCATTACAAGCTAAACACAGAGGTTTAGGGTTTGAGGGTTGAGGTTTAGCGTTTAATGTAGGGGCCTGAATAATTAGAATAGAGTTTTGGGACCCGTTATACTATAATTATAATCAGGAACCTCCAAAATAGTATCGGTAATTAGTAGGCCCCTACATTAATTTCGGATTTGAGGTTGGGGGTTTTGACACTTTGAGGGACTTGAGGGGTTCTTTTCGCAGCGCCGTGGGTTTCAAGGTATGGATTGCTTGACACCAGGGTCGGCTTAGTTAGAGCCGGGAAGTTTTAGGGGTCATCGAATACATGGAACACATCGGTTACAGCATGCGCAGGTCGGTTAAGGTAGCTTCCTGAAGGGGCTTCTACTCATGATTAATAGTGCTCTGGACACGTAGCTACTTTTCTTGACACTGCTGACTTGTGATCAGACTCTAAGCCGAAGCCGACTACATTGGAGAGTAGAGGTAGGTAGAGCTTTGTACGGAAGCATATAGAAGCTTTACTATATGTATGTTATGACTTATCACCAGAACCCTCTTCCAATTGTTACGGCTCTATTTTTAGCCAGAGGGCAGAAGAGTTGAGGCCTAAGTTGAAGAAGATACTGTAAGCCCTAAACCCTAAAACCGAATCTTGCATACCAGGATCCCTGATAGGTCTACCGACTAGAACTTTCAGGAAAGAAGTGGCCCTAAGTTGGACCTTGAACACCAAGATTCTGGAGAGAAGGAGTCCTAAGTAGTGCGGTAGGTAACCTTTAAATTCAACCGTTTTGGGGTACTATAATGCCTATGTAATCCCATACGTTAACCTTTAGTTCCCTTAGGTACTGGACAAGAAGGAGTCCAAAGCTAAGAAGGGACGCCTATCGTTGGTGCCGCGCGTGCCGCTGTCCGGTGATCCCACACCCTAAACCCTGAATCCTAAAAACCTAAACCCTAAGAGCCCTCAAGCCCCAAACCCTAAAACCCTAAA